AGTTCTAGTCTGAGAGATTTGCCATTTCCTTTGAATCAAATTAAAGCCTAAGACACACCAGGATCTCTCTCCGCCTTCTCATTCTTAGTGTAACAAGTAATTTTCTGGTCCTTTCATCTAACTCATATTTAATTACTTAGAGTAAAACATATTTCAGGCACTTCTTTTACTTGAGAGTTTTTTTGACTATAGGGAACGCAGGTGTGCCAGAGAGAAACAGAGAGACAGAGAACAAGACGTCATCCTCCAGGGGAGAATGGCGCCTGCTGGGCCCACAGACACTCTTGTAAGGTAGCCTGCTATCACTTCCAATTCATGCATCTTGGGTCTGCACTAAAATGATCCTCTCTGCTACTCTATCTACTGCACATACCTTAGAAATTATAAGTTCAAGATGTTCCCTGTAGTAACTTGTATGTGTCTGGTTAGTAGTACACATTAAAATACATTAGTGAGATTCTATGTGGGCCCTTCCAATGGTTCCTTAGAGTGAATCTTCCTTTCAGGGGTTCACCTACATTGTATCTTTGTTAAATTGATTAACATTTCAGGGAAGAAGGTGCATCTTTTCCTGATTTCTTAGAAGTATGAATCTACCTTCCCTTCCTTCCCCTCAAAGCAATCCTTAGTAGTGACAATGACTATTGTAATGAGAAATGACAGTAAAAAGTATGGGCTCAGATCAGCAAGTTAGACTCTAACTCAGAAATTAACATGTGAAAAACAGTTGCCTTCTTAATAAAAGTGTTGACTCATGGGACTAGCAGATGGTGAAATGGTTACATTATCGAACTCCCAAGTAGTCAACCGCAGTTCAAGTCCCAGACCCAGCTACTTAAACGCATGCTGGACTTGTGTGCATGTGTGCCCAAGATACCAAGAAGAGAATGAAGGAGAAGAGATTGTGGCGTGGCCATCCTCCCTGGGAGGTGATTTCTTGCTTTCTGTCTCTCTGTATCTCTCTGTATCTCCAGCGACTGAGCTGTCCCTATAGCAAAAAAATTTCTCTTACAAAAAAAAGATAAAAAGGGGGACCAGCACTTAGCATAATGGCTATGTCGCTGGAGTCCAATGTAGTTGACCATGGTTCGAGTCCTGGACCTGGGAGCTTAAACTCAGGCCAGGCGCATGTGTGTACCTGCCCAAGATCCCAAGAGGAGAATGGAGGAGAAGGGATTGTGGCCATCCCCTCTGGGGGGTGACCTCTCACTTCTCTCTCTCTGTCTTTCTGGTGAGCACACATGCCCTATAGCAAAATCCTCTCAAAAAAAAAAAAACAGTAAAGAAAAGATAAAAAGGAAAGTGTTAACTTACAAGGTGAGACTTACCTGAGGAAAGGTATCTGAAACCCTTTGAGTTGTTTGTCTTCTTTTCAATATTATGCTTTAATAGTAGTATGTTTGAAGGGACCAGCAGATGGCCTAATGGTTACTTTGTTGGGCCCCCACATAGTCAACTGTGGTTTGAGTCCCGGATCCAGTGGCTTGAAACTCACACCAGGTACATGTGCATGTATGCCCAAGATCCTGAGAGGAGAATGGGGGAGAAGGGATTGCAGCATGGCCATCTCCTTTGGGGATGATTTCTCACTTTCTACCTCTCTCTCTGGTGAGCACACACACACTAAATCAAAAATCTCTAAATAAAAATAGTATACTTCAAAATTAGAGAAATTTTTTTACATAGGGAGAGATAATGTAATTTTAGTAATAAGCTAATACCTGGAATTACAGAACAAAATAATGCCAACATTTTTAAATATTTATATTTATATTGAAAATATGCCTTGTTCATATTGCCTTTATGGCTAAAGACTAATATCTGTAATTACTTGGGTGCAAACATAAGGCATGTTTTCTTTTCCTTTTCTTATTTCTAACTTCATTAGTCACTGTGGTAGTAACAGGATAGTAATGTCCCCCTGAATCTATGCACCAGTGTCGTCCTCCATCATTGAGTCAGGACTTGACTGTGAGTCTTGCTTTGGCTACTGATTTAACATAAAAAGAAGCTTGAAGAGTGCCATTCATTGGAGTTTGACCACTTGAAAAATCCTTATGGAAAAGCCAGATCTAGCATGAGAGAGACACTGCAGACATGAGTATGAGTAGGTACCTTAGGTAACTGGCCTTTCCATGAGCTCTCAGCACTGGTAAGACCAACAGAGAACTGCAGAGCTGGAGCCAGTCCAAATTGCTGAGCATATAGAATCATCAGAAACAGAGAGAAAGTGAGAATATTCAGGGAAGATGGTCACACCTCAACCCTTCTCTTCCATTCTCTTCTTGAAATTTTGGGCATGCACCCACACGTGCCCAGTGTGGTTTTAAAGCCATCAGGTCCAGGACTAGACCCGCAGTCAGCCATGTGGGAATGCAGTGCCTTAACCAGCATGTCATCTGCTGGCCCCTCCAAGAAGTAGTATTCAAGTCTCTCCAACAGTATAAATGTCTTTTCCCCCATTTTGTTTGTTTTCACACTTCCTCATGTGCTGCCCTTCCTTGGTAGAGTGCAGTGAGTGCTTTTTTGGTATTCATTGTGATCCTTTGTTTGAATTCCTGGTGACAGGCATAATGTTTTAAATAATGTTTCCTTTGAATTGCCTCCCATCAAATGTTTAAATCCTCACTGAATTTGAAAGCAATGGATATATGATTTATTTAAATTTTCATCACCTTTAGTACTAGAGAAAAATAGGAAGAAATAAGCTAAAAAATAACTCAAATAGTGTGCAAAGATATTTCAAGGGAATTTGTGTTCCTGAAATAGAATGTTGTTTCTCTGAAGAGTTAACCCCCACTGATATGCAGTTACTCAGTGGTGGTGAGGTGAGCTGGAGGTGAGGAACAAGGGACACCGTGCTTAGTAACACCTAAAAATAGATGGATCTTATGAAGGCCTAGTGAAAAATGGTACAAAATAAAGATGCCAGCCATTTTTTTTCAGCAATAAAGGAAGAATAGTATTATGAGTTTGCCACATAAGATGCTTAAAAGAGAATAAGATATTTACCTGGAGGAATATCTGTCTCCAAGTGTACCTATGAGATTTCCACACCTGTAGCCAACATTCTGGTGTCTGGCTAAGTAATGATAAATCATTAGGAAATCCACAGAACCACATGGCCTTCCTGTTGCTTGAGAAGATGGTTTAACCTCGGCTCCTGACCACCACACTCTGCAATACTAGTTAATGTCTAACAGGGGCTATTTCCATTTTCAGCACTTCTTCTACTCTGTTCTTTCTGTTTTATTCTGGGAAGGATAGGCCCTGGTTTAAGAGATTGTGTTGAAGTTTCTCTTCTCTAGCCACCAACTCCTTCAACATAATTGCCATCAGTCTCATGTGAAGTTGCTATGATGCATAAGGAAGGTGCTGGGGACTCAAGACACATCAACTTGTACATAGTATATGTGGAAATATGCTGGTCATTATACCAATTAATATTATATTTAGAAACTTGGAGGAAGTAGGTCTTAGCCTGGTGGAAGGGAGTGAAAGCATTCTGGAAGGGGGAAAAAGAATAAATAAATATGTTGAGCCCAATTTCATGGACTGAAATTGTTTATAGAGAAGAGAAAGGGAATATATCATTGAAATATAATTAAAGGCATTATTTTACATTGCCTAGAATGTTAAGGAAAGATGTATGAATTTACCTTGCAATGAAGGAATTATTAAATATTTGGGGTAGAAAGTAGCATATAGAATTGCAATAAAGAATAATTTGCAGGGCACAAATTTACTTATTTACCATGTATTGGACATAAATATGACATCAAATCATTAGAGGTAGAAAGACGGATAGAGACAGTAAGAACCTGGCAGAGAGTGAAAAATAGCCACACACAAATAACTGTAATCAGCATGTCTAGTGACACAGAGAAAGTCTGAAGTATGAATATGGTCTCCTTAGTTTATAGAGGGGGGAATGAATTTCTCTAATCAACAGAAAATATACGAGGCAAGGCACAGTTCAAGGAAAAGAGCAAGAAACAGAATCCTAAATGTTTAGAAAATGCTGAGTAGGATGTGATTGGAGTTGCATAAAAATGTTGAAACTCCCTACAATAAATAATTTTTAAAATAACTACTAATTTAATTTAATTTTTTATTTGTTATTTTTATTATTTTTTAGTCTGACCAGAAACAGAGAGAGAAAAAGAGAAAATGAGAAAGCAAGCTGGCAGGTCCGAGAGACATAAATCGTGGCTGGCCATGTTGGAGTCCAGTGCCTTAGACACGACATCAGCTGCCGGCTTCAGCAGTAGATGGTTTTTATAATATGTTGAAGAAGTTGAGGAACTGAAGGACTTGAAACTTTGGAGATAAAATAATTGATTATAAGGATCAAAAGCAAGTGTGTCAACTCTAGGCAAATGTTGAGCATACTTAACCTACACTTTTGTACAACTGTTCAATTCAATACAATCTGAAATAAGAGTGGTGAGCTGAATGCTCTATAGGTCTCCAGCTCTCTGATTGTAACTAAATATATATGTATGTATATATGTGTGTGTGTTTACACAAACACACACACACACACATTATACTATTTTATTTTAATCACTAGAGCATATGAGCACTCACTAGAGAGACACACAGAGAGAGAGAGAGAGAGAGTGGGAGAAAACACTCCCCAATGGAGTGTGATGACACTGCAGTCACTTTCTCCACCCAGTCAGAATTTTAGACATGCGTATGTATGTGCCTGGCATTTGTTTTCTAGCTTCCAGGGCTAGGATTTGGACCATGATTGGCCATGTGAGATCTGGTTCCCTCAACCATTAGGTTATTAGTCAGCCCCAAGACCTTTATATTGATTTACATTCTGGACAAGCTAGTAAAATAAAAGTTACTCCATTGTTTCAGCGGATATTTACTGAGGACTTATGAAATGCCAGATTCTCTCAGGGAATCTCAGTGAACAATATAACACAAATCCCTTCCATGGTTTCCATGGTGATGCCTACACACCTAACAGTACCTATCTTCCCTACTGCTGTACTTGAAGGGGTACAGTCAGTGCTGTTATGAGACAGTCAGGTACCCATAGCCAAAGACCACCTGCAGCGTACGTGAAGTCAACAAGTTGGATTCATCAGTCATTGTACTGAGAAAGGCTGACCATGGGACATCTCAGTAAGAGAGTAAGTCTTTCCAGAAAGGGCTTACTACAGGTTTGGAGTTTTTTCAAGTGATTTTGGGGGAAATTGAAGGAAGTAAGGATTTGCTCTAGATTAGATATCACCAGAAAATAGACAATTCCGTGATTGGCCATCTCTGTAAATTTCATCTAAGAAGAGGATAGACGTGAGAAAGGCTAAAGCTATAATCGATAAAGAGACAAAGTTATCCATATTAACTGGGAAAAACAGATACTAGGTATTTCAGCGGTTTGCACTATGAGTGACCTGGTTTTTGTTTGTGTTCAGAAAAAATCTGATCTTGTTTTTTGCTTTCCTTTGTCATAGTTGCAGAGTGACCTTGTCTGATGCTGATGTTCTGTGAAATTATTTTTTTCGAAAGAAGAACAACATGATAGAGTGGTGAGTACCCGCTCATTTTCTAATACCACCAAGTTGTTCTTGATGTCAGAGGTGCTCTTCTTTCTCTTAATTTATTTAATCGAGATCTGATCTAATGCAATCATTCTCAAACTCTTAATGTCTGATCACATGAGACGTGACACTTTTTTAACCTCTCAGGTCTGGTAATGCTATTTCCTTCGTTCATGTTCTCTTAGGACCCCCTGATGAATTTAAGTGGCATAGGTTGTCTTCTGCATGTATATCAACCAGAGCAGTTCCAGTGATAATGGTACTGGTCATTGTTCTTAAATTACTGACCCTAAATACTTCAGAAAAACCTAATTATTTTTTCTGTAGTTGCAAATTCTTAACCCATTTAAGGTTGGAATTTTTGTCATCAATATTTCATTTTCAGGCATTGTCTTGGCAATTTTTCATTTGGGTTCTATACTCCTGGGAAGACGTTTGTTCCATCATAGTGAGAAAAATGTGTATTTAAAATCAGTTTTGCTTCCTGCATAAGCCCTCTCTGGTCCATGCTGAGATGACACAGACCTACGCTGCTGGCACAGGCCTACGCTGCTCGTTCCCTCCCACCTGAGCTACAGGTACTTTGAGGTTGGGACCTCCTGCCTGCGAGAGTTCCATACTTGTTGGTTCCATTATCCGGGTTCTTCCCACTCAGTCTCCACTGGCAAGAACATAGAGCACACATTCCAGCCTGTGGGGCTTCCTAAACCTCCAGATTTCTCTTACTTCACTTCCCAAAGATACTATAGACCCTCACATGTACTGGGAGGGCCATGAATCCTGATGCTTTTACTCTGGGAAGAACTCGTATTCTGAACATGTTTGGAATATTGTCCTAAAGACCATTTTTTAGCATGTGTGTTTTTGTCCTTTCAAAAATTACCTAGTTCTCACACACTTACAAGTGCTGTACTGATAGAACAGTCTGTTGCTTTCCAGTAGATGAACCCTTCTCATCGCCTGCACATTCTTGTACACTTGCTTGCTCCCATGGTATCAGTTCATGTTTCAATCCGTTGCACTGGCTGAGTGATAGCACTCCAATTGGTGTATATTTCAGTGCAAATATTTTTAAGGGGAAAGAGCCATATAAGGTTGTGTTTCGGTATTTTGCAGACTATTAGAGCAAACATGTACATACACACATATGTATATATATATACATATACACACTTATTTCGAATGATAATGATTTGCAGTTGGCACAATAATAATCACTCTGGAGATAAATTAATGCTATATTTGAAGACAGAGAACTATAAAGATCAATCATATAAATAAAAATGAAGCTCTAGTTTACACACCTGATTGAATTTATTCTGCCCACTTTGGTTTCTTTCACTTCTTGAAACTGTCTACCAGCACCATTCTACTGAGATAAGCACATTTGTTATTTTCTTACAGAAGAGTACTAGGAACCTGGAGGATTGATTAATCATAAAACACAATAAAAAGAAAAAATACTGCTAAGATAAGAAACTTAAGTTGGCTATAAAAATGTCTCAAAAACAACAACAACGACAACAAAAAAACAATCTAACACTAGGGGAGTACAAAGCACAAACAGGAAGCTCTTACTCCTATTTTTCCATCTCAATTTCACATTGAAAATTGCTTCATAAAAGAAAGACATGGATCGCAAGTTAGGAATGAAGGAAGCATTTTTTTTCCCCTATCTTTGGTTACTAAAGATAGTTTGGCTGTTTTTATTACAAGAGATTGAGTGTTCATGATTTGGATTTCTGTTGTTCTCCCCCCCCCCCGTTTTATAAAAGATGCTGGACACCAGGGGGAAAAGGGGAAATTATTCACCCTGGCATGTTATGCTCATAATGTTCCTACTGAGCCACACACCTGTCACTGGAGGACAGCATTTCAGGGGAGAGACTGCAACACGATTTTCAGCCTGTGTAACATACACCAGTGGACAGAGATTGGAAAGAAAAGCAAATTAACATGACATGATGAGCAAAGATGGAAGAGTATTTCACTGGAACCAGGAAAAGTCAAAAACAAACAGTAAATATGAAAAAATTAAAAGGCAAATTCTGAAGGACTGTTACTCTTTAGTAGCATGATGCTCTGTCTGTAGATACTAATGAAAAATAAAGGTTTTTTTGTTTTAATTTAAAAAGCATTGCACAATTCTCAAAGGGAGTCAACTAAAAATATAAGTTTTTAAAGAATGAACAATTATATTTTATGTGATATTGTGTGAAATGTTCAAATATATATGCCATGTCATTTGAAGATTAAATGTACTTTAAGACAGATTAAAAGCTTTTTAAAAGATGGTAATGTGTACTGTATCTTCAACTGCACTGGGGTGAAGTGTATTCACGTTGGGTAAATTCATTCACCTCACAAGCTAAGTGACAGAATGTATAAAATAATTTTTAAAAATAATTCAAACAGAGGGCCATCTGGTGGTGTGGTAGTTGAGGTAGCTGGATCCCACATGGCCAATTGTGAAGGTCAAGTCCTAGATGCAGTGGCTTGAAAAACACACCAGGCATATGTGCATATGTGCCACAATCCTGAGAGGAGAATGGAGGAGAAGGGATTGTGACATATCCCAGAAAGGTAAATTCTCACTTTCTCTCTCTCTCCCTCCAGTGAGAGCACACACCCTTTGTTAAACAAACAAACAAACAAACAGTAAATAATTAAATATTCAAACCAATACCATTTAAATTAGAGCACATATTTTTAAGGAATAAGATCACTTAGAGTATAATTTTTATATAAACTATGATAAAAAATTAAAGTTAAAAAAGAAAATATAAAATCTAAAAAACAGAAAAATACATTTCAATCATCTATTGGCATTAGTCTTTAGTAGAATTTAAATGATTGTTGTTGGTTTTTGTTACTCTGCTGCTTCTTTTTTAATGAAGATGCATTTATTTTATTAAAGATATTAGTAACTTTGCACCAACACTTTAATTTTATAGTATTTTTGTTTTCAAATCATGCTGATCTTTTTTGTTATGTTTATTGTCTATAATATGATTTTGACTTTTGGGACCAGCAGTTGTAATAATGGCTGTCATTGGATTCCCATGTAGTTGACTGTGGTTCGAGTCCCGGACCCAGTGGCTTAAACTCACACCGGGTGCCTGTGCGTGTGCCCCAGATCCTGAGAGGAGAATGGAGGAGAAGGGATTGCAGCATGTCCATCTCCTCTCGGGGGTGATTTCTCACTTTCTGTCTCTCAGTCTTTTTAGCGAGCACATGAGCCCTATAGCAAAACACCACCACCACCACCACCAACAACAACAACAACAAAGAAAAACTCTCACACACAAAAAAGGAGATATCCGCTTTTATCTTTTTCTCTCACTCAAAGTTAGCCTGGCTATAAAGTCTGAGAACATAGTCTCCATACAAGTCCATCCTGACTTCTGTCACCAACTGCAAATTTAAAGATGCAAAATACCTTCAGTGTTGGTAGCCCACTAGAAGTTTTCACAGGACTTATTGAAAGCTAGTAACGGTTCATCAGAAAGCTAATGACATATTTTCTATGTTTTTCAATGTAAAACTGTGTCCTGACTTTTCCACGACCCAATATATTCATGGTTATAGCTTATTATAGAGCTAGGATATATTAAAATTATCCTAAAAAGAGACAAATAAGACAAAGTCTAGGAGGGTTCCAGATTCAAACCTGTGGTGCCTGGAGTTTCTTGTTAGGGACTTATTACATAGATATAATTAATTAATAGATTACAGGGAGCAGCAGATGGCATAATGGTTAAGTTGCTGGACTCCTACATAGCTGACCATCATTCAAGTTCTGGACTTGGTGGCTTAAAACCTACGAAGGGTACATGTGTGTGTGTGCCCAAAATTCTGAGAGGAGAATGGAGGAATATGTATTGCAGTGTAGCCATCCCCCCAGTGTGATTTCTCACTTTCTCTCTGGTGAGCACTCTAAGGTAATAATCACTCTCTAAAAAAGATTATAATCACAACAAACATAGTAACTAAGCTCACTAATCTTGCATGATCCAAAGCCCCCACCCTCTAATCACATGTTAGTCTTCCCAGCATGGTCAGCCTCCACCTCCACCATAAATCACACCATTGTTTTTTTTCTGGCATGACCAGTCTTTAAAGTCATTGGGGTATGCCCAACTCCATCTTAAGACTGAGCATGGCAAACCCGTACCCAATACAAAGATATTTCATCAGATATCATCAGATATGACATAGATTACCTTCTAGAGGCCAAAAGCAAAGGCCAGAACTTTTTTTGGCAAAAACTTTTTTTTTTTTAAAGTGATTTTTGCTATAGGTTACATGTACTTCCTGGAGAGGCAGAAAATGAAAAATTACCCCTTCCCCCAGGTGGGATGGTCATGCTGCAATCCCTTCTCCTTCATTCTTCTCTCATTTAGGCACACATGCACACATACCCAGAATAAGTTTCAAGCAGCTGGGTCTGAGGCTCGAACCACAGTTTGCCACATGGGAGTCCAGAGTCTTAACCTCTATACCACCTGCTGGCCCTGACTAAGTCAAACTTTAAACTAAAATAGGCCAAGGTTTACAGCCAAACAACGATATATCCGATATTTAAATAAGTCAGTATGCTGAAAGGATAAGAAGCTTTTACTTCAATATCCTAATACATTTAGCCATCAATATGGGTATTATAATTTTTGTAGATTTTTGCCATAGGGCATGTGGACTTGCTGAAGAGAGATAGAGGGAGACAGAGAGAGAGGGAAAGTGAGAACTCATCCCCCAGGGTAGATGGCCATGTTGCAATTCCTTTTCCTCTATTCTCCCATCAGGATTTTGGGCACGCATGCACATGGCTCCAGGAACGTAGCAGTATAATCTTACCAACAGCTCCAGTGTCTTCTCATATCACAGTGTGCTAACTGTGACCTAAAAAGGAGTCCAAAGAAACTGTTGCATTACCACACTCCCACTCAGTAACGATTGGTTCAGCCCATCATCGTATTATATAACCAAATGGTACCAGAGAGATTCCACTGAGTTTCCAGCTTTCGTTTGAACTTGCTGGTTCTGAGAGCAGGAGTGGTCTTGGCAGCATGTGGCTTTTCATTTTCAGGCCTCTGGGAGGGGGGAGGGAGAGACAGTGTAAGGTTTTCGTCCAAGTCTTTTGAAGTGGCCATGTAATATTGGATTCCCCTTGCTGCACAATCCATACATTTATTTACTCCTTTACTCTCCAGGACCATTTCTTCTCGCTATTTATCATTTTATACAAACTTTTCTCTTTTTAAATTTTATTATTTATTTTGAGAGACTTTTTGTTATAGGGAGCATGTACTCGCCAGAAAGACAGAGAGAGACAGAGAGATAGAAAGCGAGAAATCACCCCCCAGGGCGGATGGCCATGCCACAATCCCTTCTCCTCCATTCTCCTCTCAGGATCTTGGGCATGCACGCACACGTGCCGGGCGTGAGTTTAAGCCACCACGTCCGGGACATGAACTGGGCCAAAAGCAAAGGCCAGAACTTTTTTTGGCAAAAACTTTTTTTTTTTTAAAGTGATTTTTGCTATAGGTTACATGTACTTCCTGGAGAGGCAGAAAATGAAAAATTACCCCTTCCCCCAGGTGGGATGGTCATGCTGCAATCCCTTCTCCTTCATTCTTCTCTCATTTAGGCACACATGCACACATACCCAGAATAAGTTTCAAGCAGCTGGGTCTGAGGCTCGAACCACAGTTTGCCACATGGGAGTCCAGAGTCTTAACCTCTATACCACCTGCTGGCCCTGACTAAGTCAAACTTTAAACTAAAATAGGCCAAGGTTTACAGCCAAACAACGATATATCCGATATTTAAATAAGTCAGTATGCTGAAAGGATAAGAAGCTTTTACTTCAATATCCTAATACATTTAGCCATCAATATGGGTATTATAATTTTTGTAGATTTTTGCCATAGGGCATGTGGACTTGCTGAAGAGAGATAGAGGGAGACAGAGAGAGAGGGAAAGTGAGAACTCATCCCCCAGGGTAGATGGCCATGTTGCAATTCCTTTTCCTCTATTCTCCCATCAGGATTTTGGGCACGCATGCACATGGCTCCAGGAACGTAGCAGTATAATCTTACCAACAGCTCCAGTGTCTTCTCATATCACAGTGTGCTAACTGTGACCTAAAAAGGAGTCCAAAGAAACTGTTGCATTACCACACTCCCACTCAGTAACGATTGGTTCAGCCCATCATCGTATTATATAACCAAATGGTACCAGAGAGATTCCACTGAGTTTCCAGCTTTCGTTTGAACTTGCTGGTTCTGAGAGCAGGAGTGGTCTTGGCAGCATGTGGCTTTTCATTTTCAGGCCTCTGGGAGGGGGGAGGGAGAGACAGTGTAAGGTTTTCGTCCAAGTCTTTTGAAGTGGCCATGTAATATTGGATTCCCCTTGCTGCACAATCCATACATTTATTTACTCCTTTACTCTCCAGGACCATTTCTTCTCGCTATTTATCATTTTATACAAACTTTTCTCTTTTTAAATTTTATTATTTATTTTGAGAGACTTTTTGTTATAGGGAGCATGTACTCGCCAGAAAGACAGAGAGAGACAGAGAGATAGAAAGCGAGAAATCACCCCCCAGGGCGGATGGCCATGCCACAATCCCTTCTCCTCCATTCTCCTCTCAGGATCTTGGGCATGCACGCACACGTGCCTGGCGTGAGTTTAAGCCACCACGTCCGGGACATGAACTGCGGTCGATGACGTGGCAGTCCAGCGACATAGCCATACGCTAACTGCTGGTCCCCAAACTTTTCTTTTCATCCCTTGGGAAGGGATGCTGGGTTTGGCCATGGTGTTAGTCTAGGTAGCCAGGAGGTCATCTCTCCTATTTAGTCTAGTGGGTAACTTCCTCTCTATCCACTTGCAATTATATCGGGAACGGTATATGGTTTGTATAATGATATGTCCTTCAAAGTTTCATGTTTCAGAATTTGATCTTAGTGGGTGATGATGGTTTGGATTTCCCCCAGAAATGTATGAGATGGGACTTGACTGCATCGTAGGGTCCTAAATGAAGACTTAATCCCTTCATGGTGTCCCAGGTTGGAGCCTCTGAGTGTGACAAGATCATTAGTGTGATAAAACTACTGAGTGGGGCCCATGACTGAGTTCTAGCATGTATATAAGGAGAGGAAATAAGGCAGGCTAAAGCCACATGGCACTAACCATGCTCTGCTCTCCTGGAAGTTTTGCCTTCCACCATTCTGTGATACCTTTGGACTTTCCTTCCACTTGAATCGTGACTTTTGTAAATAAAGCTCTGCCTTCTTTATAAATCACCCTAGTTTCTGATGCTTCTGTTAACAACATAATAATGGACAGACTAAAACAGAGAGCTACAAAAGTACAGAAACGGTGAGCTATGTTGACCACTAGACAAGACATTTACATTCATTGTCAACCCCGAATTTTCCATAGGGGATGAAGACACAGTTCACACCACGTTTCTCAAGGCACAGGCCCTTAGAAATTCTGACATAGAGATTTAACTGTATAGTTACATTTTCTTTCAGGGATATGCCTGATGCTGGGAATGGCAATTGCAGTCCTGGTCTTGAGGCTATGAAACCAAAAAGGAAAAAAAAATAAAATTGAGGCCTTGCACAGTGGTGCAGTAGGTAGCAAAGTAAGCTACAGTGCTGGAAGCCACCATGGTCAGCCATGGGTTTGGATCCCCAAGTCAGCCTGAAAACATTCTGGAAGCCTGCATGTATGCACAAGATCCCGACAAGCTGGAAGAGTGGAAAGGGAGATTGCAGTATGACGAGACCCTGCTAAGAGCCACCCCCCCCCCCGGCGTTGACCATGTGGGATCCGGCTACCCTCACCCGCACCCATCACACACCTGACTGATCTCTGTCTCTCTTTCAAGTGTCATGCATGTACTAACATGAGCTAAGGAAAAGTAAGTAAGTGAGATGGTGAGATGATACGGGAGGAGACAAAAACGGATAAAATAAAATCCTTAAATGTGGGAATCATTGAAGAAAATCAGTAATGTTTCAGTCTAAAGTCAAAAAATTCTATTTCACTAGTTCAGTCTCATGTAACTAATCTCTCTTCTATTGAGTTTGCAGTGTTACTGTGGCCTGATCTTTCCATTTAAACTATGAAAGTTAACATTCAGGTCTGGACTTGTCCCTACCATTAGGCTGACCATTCTCTTGGTGGTTTTTTGTACTCTTTATTTCTGTGTATCTGACTTCAGTTTTCCTGGTATAGCACTCCCTTCAGCACCTCTTGGAGAGCTGGGCTGGTGCTGGTAAATTCTTTCAGGTTTTGTGTACCTGAGAATGTTTTTGTCATAAATACATTAAATAAAATAATAATAATAATAATAATAATAATAGTTTATGAGAGAAAAATAGTCACACCAGAATTTTTTCTCTACTCCCTTTTTCTTAGATTCCCCGAGAAAAGTAAAGGAATCTGTCTGTTGGGATCCTTCCCTTGGCCATCCTCAGGTTGAGTTTGAGCACATGTTCCTGAAGGTATGTTAGTCACCCTCTTTGCCTTTAATTCTTCCCCTCCACATTTTAGACAACTGTTTCCATTTATTTTTCAAATTCTTTATCATACTATTGCTCTGAGTATCATCTCTCTACCCATTGTTAGACATTATGGGCTGCAAAGTGTGTTTCTTGGTCTGAAGAAATGTGACTCCATCATCCAAATATGTGCTCTATCTTCTGTTTTGGTGCTTCAATAGCATTTGAGTATTTCTGTTTGCCACTGGCTGTGAAGAGCCCAGTCTGAAGCTACTTCATGTCAGGACCCATTTGTAACCTCCAGTCCAAATTGACAATTATTATTTGTGAGGTCTTTCTAAGTGGGAAATCTTGTCATAGATGTTTGCAGACTGTTTCCCTCACTGGATATAGAACAGCTTTTAGTGGCATTTTATTCCTCACTATATGCAAGAAAAGTTCATCTAAATTCAACCCATCTCAGGATTGTGGTAATCCCCGGTGTCCCCTCATTTAATAGCCACCCAAAGTGAGCTCATCAGGAATTCTTCTGCCTGGGTCCAATCATCTTCCAGTCTTGGAGGGGGATTTGTCTGATGGGCATTGACACATCTTACTGTAATGCACCCTTTAAGTCCCCATAGTGATATACATAGTATCATATTCCATACAAGCATCTGTTTAGAGGGATAACTTTTAATTGTGCTTTTGCCTGACCATAAGGCCAGTTTGTTGGACAACTACTCCATGTATCGGTAAATAGGAGGAACAAGCGGCATACCATTCAGCCGAATATAATTTGCTTTTCATTTCTTCCGTCAGCATGTTAGTCTTCCAAACGGATGCTGTCCGTTCACCATGGATCTACCATCCACAAACCAAGATGTCTTTAGATTTATTGTTAGTCTATTAGGAGCTGTTTAAAGAATGCTGTCCAGATGGCAATGTTTATGGCTGCTCCCTGGGTTGTTCCAAAGATGGTCATGGCAGGAAAAAGGCTGTCTGACTGTAATGACCTCCTTATATGCTCCAGGAGCCTGTTCCTGCATACACCATTTCTATCTTGTTACTGAATTCTTCTTGGCACTGTTTTGTCCATGAAGTATTTTTTATGATACCACCCAAGACATTGTACATATTTGAGATTTAAGATTAGTTCAGGTCCTCAGGTCTCAATGAAATCAAGATAGCAAGTTAGTAATTGGAGCTGGCTCTTAAATACTTATGCTCTAGTCTGAATTGCTGACAGTGTTCAAAAGTCACAATGCAAAATTTCAATAGTTTCAATTTCCATTTCAGTTATTTTTATTTTTCTAGAAATGTTTTACTGGAAATTTTTTGTGTTGAAAACATGAATGTATAGGGTGTATCTTGGGCATCAGTCCCATGCTGTTACCTAATCTAGCTAGATGGGTCTCAAGAAATTTATTTAAATTAAAGTATTTCTGGAGCTGTGAGGAGTTACATGTGGCATTTTTGGGATGCCATATATACAACTGCATTTTCAAAGTTTTCGTAAGTCTGGTATAAAGCAGCAATAATCTGAGAGCATCCTTTCTATACTTCTATGGTGAGAGCCTAGAAGACTGGGTATTGGCGAAGCAGAATGTTACGGCTACTTAACCTTTATTCCATAAAACAAGGTAGTAGAATATAAAATCTTTTCTACATCTGGGATCCGCTGGTATTATGAGGTATCTTCATTGCTAACGAGAAAAGATTGACAGGTTCCATATGAGACCCTAAGAAAATGTCATATGCACTATAAATTCTACATCAAGTGTGCTTTTAATTACAAACAAGTAAATTAAAATGTATGTTTTAAGAACTAGCAGGTGGCATGGTGGTTAGGGTACTAGACAAAGCTGACCATAGTTTGGGTCCCAGACCTGGTGACTTGCTTTCTCACTTTCCCTCTCTGTCTCTCTCTGGAGAAAAATAAACAACAATAAAAAATAATAAATAAAATTTAAAATAATTCTTTTTCTTTTTTTTTTTGGAGAGGTTTTTGGTATAGGGCATGTGCACTTGCCAGACAGACAGAGACAGAAAGCAAGAAATCACCACCCGGGGGGATGGCCACACCGCAATCCCTTCTCCTCCAGTCTCTTCTCGGGATCTTGGGCATGCACGCACACGCACCCGGAGTGAGTTCAAGCCATCAGGTCCAGGACTCGAACTGCAGTCAACTACATGGGAGTCCAGCACATAGCCATTATACTAACTGCTGGTCCCTAAAATAATTCTTAAAAAAAGATATGTTTATAAATCCTGTCTCTACCAGATAACATGTATCAGTTCTCCAGAAGCGGATTAAGGAACCTATCTAGAAAAATTCTAGAATTGTCAAACAAATCCCCAAATATTGTGAGTTCCCACACCTAGTAAGAGATTATTGAGAGACTTTCGCTATAGGGTACATGTGCTAGCTTGAGAGACAGAGAGACAGAAAGCGAAAAATCACTACCCAGAGGAGATGGCCATACTGCAATCCCTTCTCCTTCATTTTCCTCTCAGGATCTTCGACATATACGCACATGCACATAGTGTGATTTTTAAGCCACTGGGTCCAGGAATCTAACCCTGATCGACTACTTGGGAGTCCATTGAAGCAACCATTATGCCAACTGCTGGTCCCAACTAATAAGAGATTCTAACTACTGTTGGGTATTTATAGCTAATTGACAATTTTATTTGAAAGAAAAATACTGAATTAGGTAACACTAAAAATACTATTTATGTAATCATCTATAGTAGATAAATAGCTAGGTGAATAGCTAGAGAAGATATTAAATGTGTGTTTACATTTTCAAAAACCTTTTCTCCCCTTGCAAATGATACAAAGCATGCAATATTTTTGATCAAGTGTGACATAAATTGTTTCCTGGGAAGCTGACCCCTTGCATTAGAATTGAAGAAATGTAAGAATAAAAAATGTTAAGAGATTTTTGTCACAAAGTGGTCCAGGGGAATCAGAAACTAAACCAAGCTGTCCAGATTCCTTCTTCAGGAAGGAATGAAATGAGAGCTAGCTAATTTTATTTTTTTTATAATTTGACCATCTTTGTATCCTCAGAAGTAGAATATCAGAGAGTTTGAGCTCCCATTTCCAGCCATAGACTCAGCTTGGAATCAAAGCCAGCCTTACTCTTCACTAACTGATGTATCTTTGAAAAGTTACTTACTATCTCTGTACCTCATTTCCCTTACTTGCAAAATTATGAATGTATTATTATGCAATTACCATTCTTAATAGTATCTACTTAATTTAGTAGTTGCACTAAGTTAATATAACATAGCTTGGAATGTAGATGGCACAGTGGTTACATCACTGGACTCCCACATGGCTGGTCATGGTTCAAGTCCCAGACTTGGTGGCTTTAAACTCACATCAGGCACATGTACACACATGCCCAAGATCCTAGGAGGAGAATAGAGGAGAAGGGATCGCAGCATAGCCATCTTTCCCATGGCAATTTCTTGCTTTCTATCTTTTTTTTTCTTTCTCTCTCTCTCTATCTCTGCAGAGTACATGCACCCTATAGCAAAAATTTCTAAAAAAAAATTATCCACACACACACACACATGCATATATTATGGCTAATACAGACTATAAGGGGTCTTCAAAGAATTCATGCAAAATGTGTACAATGAAAATCTACACATGGAGGCCAACAGGTGGCATGGTGGTTAAGGGTGCTGAACTCCCACAGGAGTGGTTTGAGTCCCGGACCTGGTGGCTTGCTTTCTTACTTTCTCTCTCTTGCTCTCTCTCACTCTGTCCCTCTCTGGTTGAATTAAAATAAATAAATAAATAAATGGATAATAAAAAAGAACATCTACACATGTATTTAAAATTTTTTGGAACAAAATAAACTTGTACTTTAATTGAACTTTTTCACAAACTTTTTGATGTCTCCTTGTCATCGTTCTATTAATCGAAGTAAGCTATTGCTAGAAAGATTCAGGGCCAACCCCATGTCCTAGTAGTTAAAGAAGTTGAATGCCCCATGGTCAAACATGTGGTTCAAATCCCAGCCCTGGTGACTTGAAAACATTCCAGCTGCATGTGCCCGAGTGCCCCAAATTCCAACAGGATGGAGAAATGGAGGGAAGGAACTGTGGGGTGACTGTGCCTCTTTGAGGGGCTCTTTCTTTCTCATGAGTACACACGTCCTCTGGCAATTAAGAGAAAAACATGACAATATTGACAAGTGCTCAGACCAGGCTAAAACTGTCTAATGAGTCATTTGCAAACACATATCATAGTTCATAATATTTTTCTGTTTCAGCTCTCATAATTTAAATCACTAATTTTAAAATTAATTATTTATACTCTGTTGCTTTAGATACTACACAAGCTCCAAGAGGTAATGGTTGTGTTCTTTGTGTTCACAGTAACATTTCCAGTGACAAGTACAATAACTGAATAAAATAAATGCCTAATATATCTTTGTTTGACCATAGCACTTTACACAATGGAGGCACTAGTGACTTGACACAGGTCACAGAGTTAATGAACAGGAAAGCTGCATTTAAATGCCAAGGTAAAGTTAAAATAGTCATTGACAATCGTCAGGACTGACTTCACGAGTGTATGACTTGACAGACTCACAGAGCCCCACTATCAGGAGGGCCCTCCACTTGGATTAAAACCCAACAGTTAATATCTTGAAATTCATAATAATTTTTGAATAAGAGACCCCACATTTCTGGTTTTCATTGTTACTGCATGATTTATGTAGCTGTTTTTGACATTTGTGCAATTTCATAATTTAACCTTCAAAATAAGTTTGGGGATACAGAATTGAGAAGCGCCTTCCAAGGATTAGTGCAGAGTCCACAACTTTGGCCTACTCTACCAAAGCAGTAGAAGGAAAGCTTCCTCCCTCTCCCATCAGCACTTTCCAGAGCTGTGACCATTCCTCTTTTGAGAGCTGACAGGAAAAGTAGCCCAATGACAATTGCATTGCACTTGAATTACGTTAGCAGTCCCAACCTCCACAGTGAATTGACAGCGCCAT